AGTCCCACAGGTCTATTAAGTGGGGAAGCTGGGATGTGAACCCAGGCAGCCTGGCTCCAGAGCCTTCATTCCCGGCCACTGCCCTGCAATGTGCAGGGTCATACAGCACTTGAACCCAGGACCCAATGTGCTCCACGCCCGATTCCAGGCTTTTCTCTATCCACTTAGCATCCTGCTGATGAAGCAACGAGACACAGCAACCGCTCTTTCCTGGCTCCTGGTCCATTTTCACAGTGGCCCTCGAGCCCAGCTTTGCTTTCCAATCCCTGGGGTGATCAGAAATCCAGGCCTTCCCTCAACCAGCTAGTGAGCCAAATGAAGCTATTTGAAAGCCCCCCAGCTAGTGCAGGCTGGCAAACCCTCTTCCTCTGCTGTATTCTTTGTCTCCATCACCCAACTCACCCTTTACTTTAAGCATAAAGCTAGACACCCCTCCCGGCTGCCAGGATCCAAGGAAGCCAGCAGAAATCTCCTCTGTGGTAGGAAAGGACTGCAGGTTGTAAGGACTTCCTCCCAAAAGCAGCTAAATAAAAATGAGACAGTCTCACGGGCAAGTGATGTGTCTATCGGTGCCTCTGTATGCACCACAATGGTCTTTCCTCAATGTTTTTCTTGACCTTGGCAAATCACTTGGTCCTTTCACTGTTATCTCTAAAGTGGGCTAACAATATCAAGAGCTAAATTAAAAGATGTAGGTTAGAAAATTTTTGGATAAAGCACTCCATACTTGCAACTACAACACACACACCACAGTGCACCCACCCCTCTGGTTGAGTTGGTCATTTAGATGTGGGTTTAGTTGTGTCCCCAGCCTCATCCCTATAACCAGACCCCAATAAAAAGAAAAAAATCCAGGTGAGTGGTATATCTCTGATCTCTAGATCCAGAATACATTAACTCAAGTTATACCAGCCTCTCCGGCGCAGAGTCTTTGGCATTTGTTAATCTTTGCCCTGGGAGAGACTCCTGCTTAGTCTGAGGTCCTTAGGAGGGATGCTGCCAGACATAGAGGGAATTTGCAATATACACTGTTCACTGAGTTGGATTGCATACAGTACTTGGTGTGACAGAATGAACCCAGCATAGGAGTGGATGGACACCTGAGTCCTGGTCCTGCCCCTAACTTCCTTTTCCCTGAACCTCAGTTTCCTCATCTGTAAACTGGGGTCTGGGAGGCGGGCCCAGGTCCCTTCCAGTCTAACATTCTGTTTCAGGCTTTACTTCCTGAAGGAAGGAAGTAAAGGATCAGGTTTGTCCCGATCCTCTCCCAGGTCTTCAGGTCCTTCCTCTTCTGGGTTCTTCCAGCTCCCTCTTTGTGGTCAGTCTGGCCCCATGTCTTATCAGAGACCTGGCTTGTTATTCCAGGAAGTGCCACAAGGGGGAGCCTTCTAAGGATGTCCGGGGTCAGGAAGGAAGCCTAGGCATAAGTGCAAAGCTAGGGTGGGAGTCAGCCAGGCCCAAGGGGCTGCAAGACCCAAATGGAAAAAGAAAGTTGGGAGAGCAAGGGAGGGGGCTGTAGGCTACAAAGACCATACTCCAAGCTCCCGAAGGACTGAGCCCTTGCTTTGTGTTAGTTCTTGTCTCTGTCATAGACTTGTAAGTGCATATGATGAGCTTATCTCATTTGATCCTCAATGTACTCCATGAGTCATACAGTGCAGGTGAAATTATCTCTTGTCTCTACAAGAGAGGAGAACTTTGGGAGAACTAAAGCTCAGACAGGCTCCAGGCTCACCCAGGGTCACACAGCCAACCTGGACCAGAGCTGTTGATGGCCCAAGTGTCCTGTCCACTGGCCCAGGTCTCCTCCGGGGCCTTGCCCCAGGCTGGACACATGGGAGACCTTCAGGGATGCTTCCTGAATGAATGAGCAGGTGCTCTGGGTGAGGCTGCAACCTCCATATGTAAGCGTCCTCTGCCTTGCCTGGTGTTGTAGGCACAGAGCAAGGTAACACCTTGGTTCCACTTTCTACCCCTTGCTCTTACCTTCCCAAATCACAGCAGTCATCTCTTACCAAATCACTTCCATGATCCAGAAGTGCTGGCACTACAGTCATGCCGTCACCAAAAGCCCTACTCACCTCATTTATCTTTCAAGTCTTGCTCGGGTGTGTCACCTCCTCCAGGAAGCCTCTTTTGACATCTGCTCCCACCATGGGTAGAGCTGCGATCATTCTCCTGACGGCCCCCCAAATAAGCTTCCTGATTACAACACACCAATCATTGTTTAAAAGTTATTAGATACTAGTCTGAGCTTCCCCAGAAAGGGAACTGAGTCTTATTCATCTCGGACTCCCGGTGTCTATAAAAGCTCAGCTCAGCCATCAAAGACTCATTTCGGTTACTGCCCCCGTCTCCCTCCACAGTAGTGCCTCTGCCCTGGGGACCCTCTGGTAAAGGCGTTTGAAGAGCATTCGGCCTGAACAGCTGAATGACTGATTAGCACACTCCTCCCCCCTTCTCTCTCCTGACCCCTCAAGTATCAGGAAAGGTGACAATTCCAGATTTCTGAAGATACTTCAGAACCCTCCTCAGCCCACCTGCAACCCCTCTAAACCACTCCCCTTGGGGATATTTTATACAGAAGACATTCCCCCTGGCTTGGCTGGAGTCCCCTATGGGACTCTCAAAGCTGAGGGGGCTTTCATTGGATCCAACTCACTTGTACAGGTGAGAAAAGTAAGGTCCAGAAAGGAAAGGTGACTGGGTCATTCCTTCATTTACTCATTCACTCAGCAAATAGTCACTAAGTGCTCACTATGTGTGAAACTCTGTTCTCCGTCTGAGACTTTTTTTTTTAACTAAGTGGATTTTAAAAAATATTTATGTATGCATGTATGTGTGTATTCAGCTGCATGGAATCCTGGTTTGGCATATGGGATCTCATGGTACATGGGCCATAGCATATAGGATCTTAGCTCCATGACCTGGAATTGAACCCACCAACCAGGAATTGAACCCATATACCCTGCATTGGAAGGCAGATTCTTAAACATTGGACCACCAGGGAAGTCCTGAGCCGAGACTTAAAAAAAAAAAAAGTCTCTGACTTCATAGCATCTACAATGGAAGAGATAGACAAACAAATTAGCAGGTAAGTATGTAGCCTATATTAGATGGTGATAAAAGCTACTGAGATATGCAAAGTGAGGGAAGGGAGATGGGGAGCCTGGGGTATTGGTTGGTGGAGGGTAGAAAAGAACCTTAGCAAAATGAGTGAGAAAGCACTGTAGGGATCTGGGAAAAGATTGTTCCAGGCAAAGGCAATAGCAAGTGCAAAGGTCCTGAGGCAGAAATGTGCAGCCCTGAAATAGTGACTGGAGAAGAGTGAGAGGGAGAGGAGTGGGAGGCAAGGGCAGAGCACTGATCAGATCCTCTGGGGTCTTTGAAGGATCCTTTTCTCTGAGTGAGATGTGCACCCATTCGATTTTTGAGCAGAAGAGGGACAGGATCTGACTTTGATTTTTAAAAGATAACCCTGGCTGCTCTGCTGAGAACAGACTGAGGGGACAAGGGATGCAGAGTGACAAGAGGTGCTGAGTTATTCCCCGCAGGAGAAGCTGGTGGGTTGGACCAGGGCGGGGGTGGGGATAAGGGGGGGAAAGTGGTGAAGGGTAGCAAGCAGATTCTGGACAAACTTTGAAGGTAATGTAAACAAGATTCGCTAAAGCATTTGGATGAATGACAGAAAAAGAGAAGGGTTGAGAATAACTCTAACATTTTCTTCCCGAGCAACTGGAAGGATGGAGTTGCCCTTTTCGGAGATGGAGAAGACAAAAAGGAGCAGGTCTGGGGGGGGAAGATAAGAATTTCAAAGTTGAACACGTTGAGTTTAAGATGCCTACTAAATGTTCAGGTGGAGATAGGAAACAGGATTGACAAGCAGGCAGGTCAGGAGAGAGGTTATAGGAGAGCTAAGAGAACAAAAACAAAATCTCAAGCCTCCCGACCTGCCACAGTACAGACAGGACTCTTCCCGTGGGTTGGAGAAGTTAAATACCTGCGCTCAAAACACAGGGCGCAGGGAAAGGAAATACGGTAACCTTGCGCGCACGCCCCCAGCCTCAGCAGTGCCAACTATCAAGCAAGAGCAGGTCCGCGAGAGGGGGTGGCTATCCTGGGGCTCTTAGGCGAGACCCGAGGGGGCCAGGGCTCAGCACACACATATCAGGGGCGGAGCAGGGGCCGCTCGGACTCGGGGGCGGATCTTCACTGAGGTCTGGGTTTCTTCTCCCGGCAACGGTCTTGACTCGTTTCCTTGAGTCACCGTCAGATATTTATTTAACCTCGTGGTTCAGCCTCCCTGGGGCCGGCAGGAGGGATGGAGGCAGGGCGCAGGGCGGGGGAGGCTGGCGGAGATGGGGAGCGAAAGGGGAAACATTTTCTTCCCTCCGACAGGCCGCGGCTGCCTCGCTCCTACGTGGGGTCCCACCCCAGGCCCCCAGACCTCCAGGGGTCAGCCAGCTTCTTGGAGTTAAGGGAAAGAAGGAATCACGCTGGTTCACCCCCACCTCCACCCCCATCGATTTAAGACCGGAGGAAACCTGGGGAGGAGTAACTAGTCTAACGGCCTACACTGAATCCGAGGCAGTGCCAGGCTGCCAGTCTCTGGGGTCCCCCATTCCTTGTCCATCCAATGAACGTCCGAGGCCCGGCGGTGCCAGGGGAGCCCACAGACCTCTGAGTTCTGACCAGCCTCCTGTCTGGGCTAGACACTTCACCTCCGCGCGCCTCCACTCCCCGGTCTGTAAAAGGGAGTCCTTACTCTTACCCCGCCTTCCTTGACTTGCTGAGGGACAAATACTGTTTTAAAAATACCAGCTGCCAGTTGCCGAGCGAGGCTGGCACCGTCCTGGGCGCCTCGACAGGGCCTACTGTTCTCCAGCCTCGCACACTCCGCCGCTGTCTAGGCAGTGAGAATGGGGGACTGGAGAGAGGGGCGCGGGGAGGTCAGAACCCAGCTCTTGGGTCAGAAAGGAACAACCCCCGCCTCACGTTACCTCCCCCCAAAACCACGTCCCCCGCCCCCCGGCCTTAACCCAGGGGTCGGTGCTGGGAGCGCTGGGGGCGGGGACGCTGGAGGCCCAGGGGGAGCGGAAGTCCCCGCTCGGAGGCCCCACTTCCCCTCCCCCCGGCCGGCCCCGGGGCAGGTGAAGAGGGGACCGGGCCCCGCTCCAGGTGGCGGGGCAGCGACGGGGGTGGGGAAAGGCAACAATAGCACTTTTATTTGGGACTGTTTGGTTCTGAGCGGGTGGGCGGAGGAGGAGGCCGACGGGGCTGCGGGGGAGAGGGGTGGTGAGCGGCATCTGGCGACACACCTGCTCCTGCTTAACCCTGTGCGTGCTGGGGCCGGGCGCTCGGCCGGGGAAGGCGGGCGGACGGCGGGGCGACGAGCCCCCGGCAGGGAGTGCGCGGCTGCCGGGAGGGCCAGCCCCCGGGGGTCCCGGGCCAGGCCCCCGGGCTCGGGGCTCGCAGGAATGGGGACCCCTAGAAGGACACGGGGGAGGTCCCTCTCCCTGGGACTGTGCCCTAGACCGGCGCCGGCCTCGCGCGCAGCCCGGGGCTCGGGCGTCAGCTTCCCCAGCGCGCCAGCTCGCCTCGGGCGGGATCGGGGAGGAGAGGGGTGGCTCCAGGGCCTCTGCGCGGATTCCCCGCCGTCCTCGGGCCTTTCCGGGAAACCGGCCTTCCGGAGGCGGCGCGGCGGCCACGGCTGTGCCAAGGGCGCGGGGCGCGGGCCAGGCCCAGCGGGCGGCCGCCGGGCGGGGGAGCCTCGCGCTGGGCGCGCCCTCTCGCGCTAAACGCTTCCAGGCGCGGCGCTGCAGGTGAGCTGGGCGCCTGGCGATCCCCACCCCCGTCGGGGCCTCGCCAACGCTCCCTGCCCGCCAGAGCCCTTGCCGTCGAGCCCCGCGCTGCACCTGCCCGCGCCGGGACCCCGGCCCGCCCGCGGACCCCCACCCACCTCCCAGCCCCGGGCTGGCGCGCTCGCCCGCCGTACAATCGGAGCTTGTTTGTGGGCGGAGGAGCCGCGCCGGGTGCGGCGGCCCCGCGCCAGCCCACTGATCCCATAAAATATTATTTGTGTTTAAAAATTCCAGTAATTGGCTATGCAGCCGCTTTTTCCGAGCTCTGTGCCAAGCTCAGTAAAATCACAGTCCGGCTAGAGTTATTTTCATCATGCAAATTCCCATTTCTGTAAACAGGGTTAAAGCCCCTGGAAGAGGCTGGGCTGGAACCAGGGAAGAAAAGCAGACGGTTGTGTTCCCGAGTCAGGGAGTTAGTCAAACTCGGTCTTCATTCCTGCGGTGACCTGGGTAATTGGGGAGAGCTATTAAGAAAATCCTCCCCAATCGCTTCTCTTTGGGTCTCAGTGACTGGACTCTATTGGTTAAACTCCCTAGTTTCCTTAACTTCCCCTGTCCCATCTGAATAACTTAATAATCAGACCACGGAATCATAATTCTTTTCTCCTTTTTTGAATCGCAAAGCAAACTGAGGCTCAGAGAGGGGAAGAGACTTGCCCAGCAGCCACACAGCAAGTGTGTGCAAGAGGCCAGGCCAGCACATAGTTTGCCTGACTCCCCAGCCATCAGGACCCCTTCAGGTCCTAGTAATAATAGCAGTAGTAGTAGTAGGTTGCCTAGTGCAGCCAGCACCCAGAGCACCAGGGCCTGGCTCCGGGATGCTGACTCCGGGTACAAAACTAAAGGAGGACTTCCCCCTCTCCAAACACACTCACTTCCTGTCCCTCAGGAGCTGGGAGCTGCCCAGAGAGGAGGAGTGCGAGGGAGTCCCTGCCAGGGTCTTGGAAACCCTGAGTAATGGACAGGGGAGCCTCTGCCCTGCCCTACCCAGGGATGGCTGCTCTCTGCTGCAAGGAGAACCACAGATGTGGGAAGAACGAATTTCTTAAACAGATACTGAAAGGGAGCCCAGATTCTGCTGCTGGAAGGAGAATTGGGGCTCAGAAAAGAGTAAATAATAGTATATTATTTATAATATAATATTGTATTATATATAGTGTGTTATTGCTGTTTGGAGCTTCCCTGGTGGCTCAGAGGTTAAAGCATCTGCCCGCAATGTGGGAGGCCCAGGTTGGATCCCTGGGTCGGGAAGATCCCCTGGAGAAGGAAATGGCAACCCACTCCAGTATTCTTGCCTGGAGAATCCCATGGACGAAGGAGCCTGGTAGGCTACAGTCCACGGGGTCGCAAAGAGTCGGACACAACTGAGTGACTTCACTTTCACTTTATTGCTATTTGGTATTGACACTTAGTATGTGCCAGATGCTACTGCACAATTTGTTTCGTTTAATCCCTGTAACAAGTCTAGGGGAAGGGTATTAACATTGTACCCACTTTCCAGATGAAGATACTGAGGCTCTGAGAGATTAAGTCACTTACCCAAGGTTGCCTGTAAGGAAAGCCCTTTTTCCGGGGATGTTTGTGAATCTGGGTTTCCTTCACCAGCCCCAAGGTTTTCATACCACCCCAGCCTCCTCCTGCCTCCCTCCATTTCACCCCACAAGCCTTTGTGCAGGCTACTTTGTACCCTGAGTATTCCTCCTCCCTCCTATTCTCCATCTTCCCCATTGCCTCCCTTCTTCAAACCCTAGGCTCCTCAGTCCCAGAGATCAAGGAATATCTGCATAGATAAACTCTATTCGGGGCTTCCTTTGTGGCTTAGCTGGTAAAGAATCCACAGGAAGACCTGGGTTCGGTCCCTGGGTTGGGAAGATCCCCTGAAGAAGGGAAAGGCTACCCACTACACTATTCTGGCCTGGAGAATTCCATGGCCTGTATAGCTCATGGGGTCACAGAGTCTGACACAGCTGAGCGACTTTCACTTCACTTCAAATTCTATGGGATGCTGCACTTAGACCAGCAATTCAGGCAAGTAAAGGCAATCAGGTTATGAAGCTCTTCGCATAACAACAGAACTTTTTTCCAAGAAAACTGGTTAGTGTTTTAGAAGTGCCTCCTACATGCAACCTCTGGAAGAGGACATGGCAACCCACTCCAGTACTCTTGCCTGGAGAACCCCATGGACAGAGGAGCCTACAGCCCATTGGGTCACAAAAACTAGGACGCAACTGAAACAACTTAGCATGCATGCACCTACATGCACATCCAAACACACACACACAAACCCCAAAAACAGGAGTTTCGGTTGTGGTTCCCAAGAAGGAAAGTATTTCTGGTGGTGCAGGATTGTTCCGCCGCAGAATGGGCAGCCTTGTGAGGAACTGAGCCTCCCGTCACTTAAAATGTGTCAGCAGGGGCTCGAGGTCCCCAGCCCAAGGGTGGTGTCAGAGAAAGTCCTGAATCCTCTTTGGCTTGTTTGCTCAGAAATCAATCCAACCCCAGGATTCCACCTACATTACTGTACAAATGTAGGTCCTACTTGTAATTAAATTGAATTCGGAGTTAGTGTGTAAGTTTCTCTTCGATCTCCGAATTGAAACACCATCCAGGTGGCCGATGCCCATGGGAGAAAGGAGAAGAACCCTCAGGTGAGAGGACAGCTTTTGGGGGTGAGAAGGCATCCATTGTGGTGGTCCTTGAGAAATCCATGTTGTGGGGGGCGGAGTCCTTCAGAAGATGGAGCATCCCTGAGAGAGTAAATGGGGAAACAGTGTCTAGTGGATTCTAGACAGGGGAAGAGGTGAGCAGCACAAGACTCTGGCAAGAGGAAGGATAAGAGAAAGCCAAGGACTTCCCTGGTGGTCCAGTGGCTAAGACTCCGAGCTCCCAATGCAGGGGGCCCTGGGCTCAGTCCCTGGTCGGGGAACTGGATCCCACATGCTGCAACTAAAAGATCCTGCATGCCACAACTAAGATCCGATGCAGCCAAATAAATAAATATTTTTTTAAAAAGAGAAAGCGAAAACTAGTGCCTCGAATCCCCAGGGCCTAGTGGGATCCCTGGAGGGCTCCCCTCCCCCTGGGAGCTCATCCCAGCCCCCTAGATTTCCTACCTTCGGTCTTGCTTCCTGCTCAGGTGGGTTATGTGGAGTGTGTTATGTTCAGGTGGGGGGTCCTTCTTCCTCCCAGCTCTGGAGGTCTGGACACGGGTTCTGGGCCCAGGGGTGTTTGAAGGATGCCTCTTCCTGCCCATGCCTCCAGGTCCTATCACCCTCCTTCCCAGAGCTCATCACAAGAATTAAGATGTGGGGTGACTGCCTCATCCCTCAGGGAAGGAAAGAGCCTCCCCAATGAGCCGAGGGCCATTTGAGGGGCATGGGGAGAAACGGGGGTACAGTGGACTTCCGGGGAGTCTGCCCAGGCCAGGCTTGGTAAAGCCACAAAGACTTCTTGGGGTGTATGCCCCACAGATATGGTGGCACAATGGGATTAGGAGGTGTGGTTGGCACCTTTGAGGTCTCTTCTTTTTGGACCTTGAAGGACTGAGAAGGGGCGCCTCTTTCCTCCCAGGCCCCTGTCCCCTTCACCCACCCCAGAGAGGGTAGGATGGAGTGAGGTGGGTCCCATAACCGAGCAGTGGGTGCTAGGTATACTTATTGCTCCTGGAGTTAAAGATGTCATTTTAATGTTTTACTTGATATTGGTATTAAAGTTATTTTTTAGAGCATCTGTATCTTTTTGTTGTTTGATACATAAATATTTATGGCTGAAGTGATATGCCTGTGATTTGCCTCAAAATCACATGGGGAGAGATGGGACAAAATTGACCACGAATTGCTTCTTGTTGAAGCAGCGTGATGGGATACAGGGCAGCTCTCATACTATTCTGTCTACTTTCATGTATGTTTGAAAAATCTAGAGTAAAAGCTTAAAAATAGTAGGACAAAACTCAGTCCCAGTCGCCCCATCTAGAAGCTGTTCCTGATTGCTCTCACATAGCCTGCCATCTGCTCCTGCTCTGTAGTGTCTTGGGTCTCTGTTCACGGCCAGCCTGTGGGTGGGGTGTCCCCTCAAAGTGGTCACCACTGGAGCATCCCCGCTGTGGGGGTGCTCAGCTTCAGAGAGGGAGGAGCTGCCCCCACCCGCCATGCCCACGTGCTGAACTGTAGAGGGCAGCGTGCCAGGCATGTTCACCGATACAAATTATTTCTCATCATACAGTCCTGGGAAGTGAACTTTATTCTTACCCTGGATTTACGGATGAGAAAACATAGATTAAGAGAAAAAGGTTAAGAGAACTTTCCCTCTTGATCCATTTTCCCAACTGTTCACCTCCCATCAGCAAAGCCATCTCAGATGTAATATAGAACCACAAAAGTTCTGGTGTGCCTCCCCACACCTCCTCCCTCAAGCTTTCAGGAAAGGGTGTTCACATCCACCAGTCCGCCCAAAGCTCAGCCATCTTCCTTTTTTAAAAAATATGTGTGTGTATATATATATATATAAATATATGTACACATATAAAATATTATATCATTTGGCTGTGCTGGGTCTTAGTTGCAGCACGTGGGATCTTCAGTCTTCCTTATGACATGCAGGATCTTTAGTTGAGGCATGCATGATTTAGTTCCCTGACCAGGGATCCAACCCGGGCCCCCTGCATCAAGACCGTGGAGTCTTAGCTACCGGGCCATCAGGGAAGTACCATCAGTCGTCCTTCTCTCTTATCCTTACCCCTCCTCTCCAACCCATCAGCCAGTCCTTCAGGGTAAAATTCACGCTCAGTCACACTTTCACTGCTACCACCAAGTCCCTCTGCTTTCCAGCCTGAGCTCGGCTCAACCTCACTGACCCCCTGCTCCCACCCTTATCCTCACCCATCCCTTCTCAGAGCAGCAAAGACAACCTTGGAGCATTCATCCAATGGTGTCTCTCTCCTCTTTCCTGTGACCTCCAACTGCATGTAACAAGGAACTCTCAACATCCTACGAAGGCCAACAGCAGGGCCTACATACACAGCAGGGCCTTTCAATGACCTCTCCCCTGCATCCCTTCATGCCTGTTCTTACTCCCCACTCTCTTCCCTCAGCCTCCACCCCGGTTTCCTCTGCACCATCTGTGCCTCTGCCACTGTGCTTTCCTCAGTTTCTTCTCATCCTGCAGGTTCATGTTCCATGCTATGCTTTTGGATGACCAGCCGTTTAAGCCTCTGGTTAATTTTCTTGCAATTCTTTTGCAGTTGTCTTATGCATCCATTAATTTTTTTTCTTTTTTTTCCTTTTGGTCTGTGTCACTCCACTAAAGTGAAAGAACCACGAGGGCAAGAAACATGATCATCTCCTCAGCACAACTGGTCTAGTGTTGGCCTTGGCACATTCAGTTCAGTTCAGTCGCTCAGTCGTGTCCGACTCTTTGCAACCCCATGAATCGCAGCACGCCAGGCCTCCCTGTCCATCACCAACTCCCGGAGTTTACTCAAACTCATGTCCATCAAGTTGGTGATGCCATCCAGCCATCTCATCCTCTGTCGTCCCCTTCTCCTTCTGCCCCCAATCCCTCCCAGCATCAGGGTCTTTTCTAATGAGTCAACTTTTCGCATGAGGTGGCCAAAGTATTGGAGTTTCAGCTTCAGCATCAGTCCTTCCAATAAACAACCAGGACTGATCTCCTTTAGGATGGACTGGTTGGATCTCCTTGCAGTCCAAGGGACTCTCAAGAGTCTTCTCCAACACCACAGTTCAAAAGCATCAATTTTTTGGTGCTCAGCTTTCTTTACAGTCCAACTCTCACATCCATACATGACCACTGGAAAAACCATAGCCTTGACCAGACAGACCTTTGTTGGCAAAGTGATGTCTCTGCTTTTTAATATGCTATCTAGGTTGGTCATAACTTTCCTTCCAAGGAGTAAGTGCCTTTTAATTTCTTGGCTGCAGTCACCATCTGCGGTGATTTTGGAGCCCAAAAAAATAAAGTCTGACACTGTTTCCACTGTCTCCCCATCTATTTGCCATGAAGTGATGGGACCAGATGCCATGATCTTAGTTTTCTGAATGTTAAGCTTTAAGCCAACTTTTTCACTCTCTTTCACTTTCATCAAGAGGCTTTTTAGTTCTTCTTCACTTTCTGCCATAAGGGTGGTGTCATCTGCATATCTGAGGTTATTGATATTTCTCCTGGCAATCTTGATTCCAGCTTGTGCTTCTTCCAGCCCAGTGTTTCTCATGATGTACTCTGCATGGAAGTTAAATAAGCAGGGTGACAATATACAGCCTTGACGTACTCCTTTTCCTATTTGGAACCAATCTGTTGTTCCATGTCCAGTTCTAACTGTTGCTTCCTGACCTGCATACAGGTTTCTCAAGAGGCAGGTCAGGTGGTCTGGTATTCCCATCTCCTTCAGAATTTTCCATAGTTTATTGTGATCCACACAGTCGAAGGCTTTGGCGTAGTCAATAAAGCAGCAATAGATGTTTTGGCACATAAAACAGGTTTAAAAATTCTACATTTGATCAACAAAGGAATTCTCCATCATTCCTAAAAGGCCAAGGCCTTTAGGAACTCAGTAAAGATGCTGAAGACCATTTAGTTACCATCTTGGGCCATCCCTGAACCCTTCCAGACTTTGCGAAAGTCTCAGCACCAGGAATTCTTTGAGCCTGCTCTAGTCTGCCTGCCATCTGGCCACCTTGGCCTTTTCTCCCACTTCTGCTCTCCCCAGGCATACCTTTAACAACATGCCTGGAATAAAGCTTCATTTCTAAAACAACTACTATGTGCCAGGTATAGCCAGTCCTCCCAACCAACTCCAGAAGATATATTTTAAAACAGAAATGAAAAGACATGGCCAGAAAGAGGCTAAATCATTTGCCCAAGACCACACTAGTGAGTGGGAAGTAAGTAAGTAAGTGTCAGTCGCTCAGTCATGCCTGACTCTTTGAGACCCCACAGACTGCAGCCCACCAGGCTCTTCTGTCCATGAGATTTTCCAGGCAAGGTTACTGGAGTGGGTTGCCATTTCCTTCTCCAGGGGATCTTCCCAATGCAGGGATCAGACTCAGGTCTCCTGCAATGTAGGCAGATTCTTTACTGACTGAGCTACAAGGGAAAGAGTGGGAAATACAGGACAATCTGATTTACTTTAACTGTCCCAAATTAGTGGGTGGGGCTGTGAGAAGGTTTTTGTTTTTTAATATTTATTTTTTATTTGGCTGTGCGGGGTCTTAGTTGTGGCGTGTGAGATCTAGTTCCCTGACCAAGGATCGAACTCAGGCCCCCTGCATAGAGCATGGAGTCTTAGCCACTGGGCCACCAGGCAACGTCTTTGTGAGAAGGTTTGTAAGGCCTCTTCCTTGTAGCATGCTTACCCCTCCCTTGATGCCCCGTCTTGCCCTTCAGCCCTGGGGGTTCCACCAGGAGCAGGAGGTAAGAAATCAGGACCCCCAAAGTTAGAAATCCAGGGAAGGTAAGGTCAGGGTGATAGTGTTGGGGGATGTGGGGTTTGGTCTTAGGTAGGAACAGAGTTCTGGCTTCAGGTGGGCATGTGAAAGGAGGGGATGGTAAAAGGGAAAGATGGCCAGCGGGGTGATGGGGAAATCTAAGCACCCCAATTCTGAACACCTGTGTCTCCTTGTCTCACCCGTCACACAGCTCCGCTTAGGAGGCTGCAGGTTGGCCATTTCCACTTGGGCAGGCAGGACGGGGCAGGAAGGGGACCGCTCCTCCCTCCTTGAACTACCTGCCTGTAGTCCCCATAGCCCATCTGATAGGCAAAGCATTCGCAGGAGCTGAGGCGAGAAGAAGGGGGGCAGGTGGGAGGGAGGTGGCTCTGCTCATCTTTGGGAGAGAAGACTGCAGCCAGGAAGGAGGGGAGCAGGATAGTGCAGCCAAGTAGGGGTCAGAAGCCAGAGCTGGCAGAGAAGAAGGGGCTCTGGCGGGGTGGGGAGAGCAGGACCCAAGGTGGACCTGCCTCCCCCCACCCAGTTCAGCCCAGCCTGGGAAGGGAAGTGGGGAGGGGTCCTGTCACCAGGAGACCCTTTGTACTGCCAGCTTTTTGCAGCAGAAACTGCCCCTTGCTAACCAGCATCCTCCTACTCCCCAGGGCTAATAGGAATTCCCTCCCCCCGCCGCCCCGGGGCCCCAGGCCTGGAGGGTTAGGGATGGAAGGAGGTGTAGGCCAACCCCACACAGGCCACTCTGAGTGTCAGCAGACTCTTGCCTGAACTTCAGACCCTGGTCCCATCCCAGCCTGGGAGAGGAGTGCCAGGGATCAAAAGAGTGAGATCAGGTGGTCTCTGGCATTCTTGAGAGCTCTCCCGGCTGCTAAGACCCTCCCCTAGCCCAGAGGTGGGTAGGTTTACCATCCCATCCCAACCCCCTCTCCTGCCTGTTCACACACCTTCTTCCCACATGCATGAGGGGGAAGATTGTAGACACTCGGCTCCAAAAACTCAGTTCAAATCCTGACCTTGCTTCTGAGTAGCTGTGTGGCCTTGGGCAAATCGCTTAACCTCTCAGAGCCTCAGTTTCCCGTCTCTAAAATGTCATCTCTAAAAATCATGAAGGAGCTAGACTTACCTTATGATGTCTTAGGGAAGACGGAGCGACAGGACCTCTGGTAAGCCAAAGGCATCTCACAGCATTGTCTACTGGTCTCTTTTCCAGGGAGGGGAAGACCTGGCGAACTTCCTGGAGGAGGTGGCTGGGGAGTGCTGAGGGGCCGACAGGGGTCGCTGCGAGTGCGCAGGCCCATCGGGACCTCCCTGGGGCTTTGGGGACGGGGTGTCGGGCGTGGAGAGCGCAGTGGAGTTTCTCTGAGCTGACACCAACCCTCCCCAAACACGCACCACCCGCCCGGTCTCTTGTTCCTCTCAGCCCAGGGCAAGACTCGGGCCGCACCTCCCGGCTCTCTCCGCCGCCCCCCTGCCCAGGACCCCCCTGCCCCACACCCTAGGACGGGCTGGTCTCCCCTTGGGGGGCCGGGGCCAAGAATGGGCGCGTGAACTGGGGCAAATTAACACGTAGGAAAACACCCCGGCACCTGGAGAAACAGGAGCTGGGGCCGGGGGAGGGCGGCCAGAGCCTTGGAAGTCAGAACCCGAACGGAGCGATAATTCACCCGAGTGTCCGCGGCCTCCCGCCCGCTCCCCGCCCCCGCCGCTCGGCCTCCGGTTTCAAAGGCGGACAAACAGCACACTGTGCTGGTCCCGGCTCCCTCGCTAAATCTTCCTGTCTTCAGCTTCTGGTAACCTGAGCCGGCTGCGCTGACCCTCCCTCGGAGGCCTAATGGGTACCGGGAGAGGGGAGAAGGTGGTGGGAGGAAGACGGAGGGGAGGGGGGTGGAGAATGCCGCCCCGCCCCGCTGGGACCTCGGCCCTCACCCCTCCTCTCAGCGGCGGCCCGGCCAGCCGCCCACATCCCTGCACTTTGGGGTACGGGTTGGGGGGAGGGGGAGTACAGTGGGCGAATGTTGCTTTAGAGCAAGTCTTTGCTTTCACATACACTGCCGCTTTGGCCTGTGTTTGCGCTTCTAGATGCTTCTGCGCGTGGACAGAGTGTGAGTCTGTGTGTGAGAGGGAAGGGGGGTGGCTGTTGTGAACTCACACCTCAGCATGTGGAAAAGTCATTTTTGTGCTTAAGTCGGGCACCGTCGTGGGAAGACCGAGGAGCCCCGCTCCCTCCTCCCCCTCCTCCCCTCCCTCCTCCCCCTCCTCCCCTCCCTCCTCCCTCCTCCCCTCCCTCCTCCCCCTCCTCCCCTCCCTCCTCCCTCCTCCCCTCCCTCCTCCCCCTCCTCCCCTCCCTCCTCCCCCTCCTCCCCGTTCTCTGTTCCCTCCTCCTTCCCCTCCCCCTGCCACTCCTGACCAGAGGCAGGGCTGAAGGGGTTGCCGTCTGCCCAGAGTCCTTCTCCAAGGCTCTCTGACAAGTGAGCCTGCCTGCCTGGGATCTTGGCCCTTAGGAAGCAATCTGGGCCAGAACCTCCTGACCCCCTGCCCTCTCTTTGGGGGCAGGATTGGGAGGGGGAACTGTTCACCTGGAGAGGCGCGCCCCCCATCCCGTCTGCTCTGGGATTTCCAGGGGGAGGTCCTACCTCAAGGCCCAGGGTGGAGTGGGTCCTCAAAGCACAGGGGACCTGGAGACTTCTGGGAAGGGCTGAGGACCATTTAATTAAGAAGCCGCTGACTGAATGGGGGGAGGGTCAAGATTTGATTGGTGAGGGCAGGGCTGAGAGCAGAGGTGAAGGGCAGGGCTAGAGCTGCGGTTGAATCGGTTGAATCGGGGGTCAGAGAGTAGGAGTGAGATTTGAGGGTCAGGAACTAGTTAGGGGGAGGGGTTGGTGTAGTGGCAGGCCTAACTGGACAAAGTGGCAGTCCTAACTGGACAAAGAGTTGGAGTTCAGATTCAGAGTAGGGAACTGTGTTGGGACAAGGCGCGGTGGTTAAGTGCAGAGTTCATTCATGCTGTCTTTAACCAGAAATCTTTTAAAAATTTATTTGGCAGTGTCGGGTCTTAGTTGTGGCCTGCGAACTCTGAGTTGCTGCATGTGGGATCTCGTTTCCCTGACCAGGGATGGAACCCCAGGCCTCCTGCGTTGGCAGCCTGGAGTCTGAGCCCCTGGACCACCAGGGAGGTCCCCAACCAGCAAATATTAATTGTCTCTCATGTGCCAGGTACTGTTTTACTTACTGGAAATAGATAGCAGAACACAAAACTCTGCCCCCCTCCAAGGTTCCATGCCAGTGGTGGACAGATAATAAAATTAGAAAATGGATAAATGATATTTTAGATGGTGGTAAAGGCTGCAGAGACAAGCTGGGAAGGGGGAGAGGGAGTGATGGGGCACGTCTTGCAATGTGTGATATGGCCTCACTGAGAAGGTGACACATGTGTCAAAACCTCCAGGAGGTGGGGAAGCCCGCCAAGCAGATACCTTGGTGAAGAGCGCTGTAAGCAGAGGAACGGCAAATGCAGTTTCTGCCCTGTGTGTACACCCGCCCAGCATGTTCAGTTCAAGGAACAGCAGAGATGCTAGAAGGGTGGGGAGGGTGGGGGCGAGCAGGAGGGAGGAGGCCGGATTGGTCAGAGGCTGGGATCAGGGGTAGGGTCAGAGTCAGGGGTCTGTATCAGCTCTGTCTTCTCCCTCTTGAGTCATGGGGAGGCAGACAGCCTGTAGGTAGGGGCCAGCAAAGAGGAAATGGGTGAAGCTGGGAGACTGGTGGGGGCCCATGAAGCCAGCCCACCCCTGGGAACTGCAGGTCAGGAGAGCCTCAGCTTGGTATGGGGCATCTGACTTCGGGGACCTCCTGGTCTTACCCAGGATCTCCCCTCCAAAGCATGAGACACCACTTCACTTGGAGCTTCAAGATCTTTGTCGCCCACCCCCCCATTTGTTTGCTAATAAAAAGATGAAGAGGGGCCTGTCTGCCTTCTCCAGATCACTAGCCTTCTCCTTCCCTTCTCCCCTGCCTGCCTCCTCTCCCTCTCCTTTCTCTCCCCAAGAGCTGATGCAGTTAATTGGAGCGTCTTGGAAGTGCACATTAACACACAGAGCACCAAGGAGACGTCTTGGCAGCGAAATATCATTATCACTTCTTGAGCTCCAGCCAAAATCCCCTCGTGGTCAAAACACAATTCTTTAAACTAAACAATTAAAGATTTGTGCAAGTGTGGCTGCCATGAGGTATCAGCCTGGGAACAGTCGCCCCTGCCATTGTGTCAGCAGAAGTTAGCAACCTGCTCCATGCTCCGAGCCAGGTGATGGGCCCAGCGTCTCCTGGGAAGGAGAATAAACAGCAGGCTCACGGCGGTGGCCTGGCCACCAGTGACAACCTGCCTCCATCCTTAGAGGTACAAGGATTTTGAAATGCCAAGCCCCCAACCCCCTTTATTTCATGCTTTGTCTGCAGAAGCCCCTGGCCCTACAGTGAGAATCACTGGGCACCACACTGCCCCTTGAGGCTGGGGCTGGGAGTGCTGGAAGTCACAGGCTAAGTTTCCTGGATTCCTAGAGCCCAGGCTCACACCCACCCACTCCAGCTCAGCCCTCTGACACCTGGGCACATACAGGGCTATGCACACCACACAGCTGAGGTTAGAGCAGAGAGATGCTGGGCCAGCACTCCAAGTCTACCCCATAATGTGTAGTTTCTACCCTGCCCAGCCCTCAATGAGGACCCCAAGTTCGATCACGGGTCAAAATCTGGGCTACAAATCCCTCCAGTAGGTTGCAGGGTAACCGCCTCTCTCTGAGCCTCAGTTCCCATGTCTATACCATACAACTTAGGCTTGATATTGAAGATTCTTCCAGTTTAAATATGCTGTGGATCTTTGACTTTAGGTACCAATTGCAAGGGCCATAGTCAGTGAAATGTGTTAGTCGCTCAGTCGTGTCTGACTCTTTGCAACCTCATAGACTGTAGCCCGCCAGGCTCCTCTGTCTGTGAAATTCTCCAGGCAAGAATACTGGGATAGGTGGCCATTCTCTTCTCCAGGGGATCTTCCGAACCAGGGATGGAACCCAGGTCTCCTGCATTGGAGGCAGATTCTTTACCATCTGAGCCTCCAGGGAAGGACCATGGAGGTATCCAGACAGCAGGCTCAGAGAAACCTCTCCTTCCACACATGGAAATTTCCTCTTGTGCTGTGCATTTCAGCGATCCAGTTCAATCAGATACTTGCCACACTCTGGGCACGGTAAGTCAGGGAGATCAGGAATGACGGTCCCTCTGTCTCCAGCTGTTTTGAAATGTCTCTCTCTAGACTGTCAAGGAAGCTTGAGTCTGATGAAGCAAAGACTCTGGAGCCAGATGGCCTGGGTTCAATCCCAGCTCCCTGCTCTCTAGTTATGTGACCTTGGGCAAGATGCTTAACCTGTCTATGCCTCAGTTTCCCCATCTGCAAAGTGGGGTTAACCATAGAACCCACCTCTTAGGGTGAATATAAAGATGAAATGAGAAAAAAGAAAAAGAAAGTATTGAAACCAGAACAGTGCCTGGTTCATAGAAAGCACTCGATGAATAGAAGCTATTGTTATTTCTGTGGCTTTTCTAGTGGGAAGCCTGTGGCAGCTTGTCTCTAAAGCTGGCATCTCGGGAATTTCCTGGTGGTCCAATGGTTAGGACTCAGCATTTTTCAGCCTCTAGTTGCGTCCCGTAGGTTCCAGAGCCTGTGGGCTCAGTAGCTGTGGCACATGGGCCTAGTTACCCTGATGCATGTGGGATCTTAGTTCCCCAACCAGGGATCAAACTCTTGCCCCCTGCATTGCAAAGCACATGCGGGGTATTTTATTCATCACACTTGAATAAAATCCAAAGTCCCTCTCTGTGGCCTACCGCACATAACATGTGCCCCACTCTCCCTCCAACTTTGTCTCCCATCATCTCTTTCATCCTGTCCTCTGCTCCAAGGACTCTGGCCTCCTCGTAATCCCTTAAACACACCAAATAGGCTCCTGCCCCAGGGCCTTTGCTAGTGCCCGTCCCTCAGCTGGGCATGCGCTTCCCCCTATTTTCTCACAACTCAATCCTCCGCTTTATTGGGGTCCTTGGCCAAAGTTCACCTCTTTTGGGAGAGTCTTTCTTGAAATAGCAACCCCTCCCCAGTCCTTCTAATATTCCTTTCTCTGTCCTTCCCTGCTTTATTTTTTCTCAGGTTACTCATTGCTACCTGCTATTTTTTTAATGTACATTTTATTAATTATTATCTGCTTATTTGGTTGTGTTGGGTCTAATTGTGGGATGTGTGCTTCTTGCTAGATGTGGCAAGTGAGCTTAGTTGCCCCGAGGCATGTGGAATCTTAGTTCCCCAAGCAGGGATCGAACACACGTCCCCTGAATTGAAAGGAGGATTCTTAACCACTGGAACCACCAGGGAAGTCCCACTACCTGCTATTAGACTGCACGTTTATTTGTGCACTCACGTTCCGTCTCTCTTCTTTCCACTAGGACGTAAGCTCCCTGAGGGTAGGAGTTCTGTTTGCTTGGTTGACCACTGAGCTCCAGGGCTTGAAACGATGCCTGACACATAGTAGGTCTCAAGCAACAGTTGTAGGATAAATGAAACTCCTCTATTCCAGAGAAGGGAACTGAGGCCTAGAGATGGGGCGGGGACTTGCCCAAGGTCCCACGGCTCCTTAGCCTGACCCCAGCCCAGGGCTCTGCCTTCCTGGGTGCACACCCGCGTGCCCCAAAGGGCTCCGCTCCCCTTTGTCTACAAGCGGCCACAGCCACACCCCTCTGTCACTCAGGCGGGCCAATAGCCCTATAACTGAAGGGGATCCTTCAGTTGTTTCTGTCAAACAGTATTTACAATAAACTTTGTTTGAACTTTTGTCTAAGTGATAATAATAATAACACGATAATTATATGGAGTATAACGTACAGCCAGCTGTATTTAATTAAAGCTGTAATTTCACTAAGGGT